GTGGAGGACAACGAGAAGGACTCGGTCCAGTACAGCTACTCCTTCTTCCATTTCATGCTCTTCCTGGCCTCCCTGTACATCATGATGACGCTCACCAACTGGTACAGGTCAGTATCTTGTGGGAAACCATGGAAACGCTTCCTTACCCATCAGAAAGCTTCTAGTAAATGTGATTTTTAGCCTGTGCCAACATGTTCCTCGTTTCCTTTTCATCATAGCAAGGTTATACAAAGGTCACACAGATCCATCTAAAGCAACAGCACTTCAAAACTGCCCCCCTCCTCCCTTGTGCTCCTACCTTTGTGGTTGATGCTACACTTTCAGTGAAAAAATATTTTGATTGAGATGTATATGATCTTTGGTTGTCTCATCCTCTCCTGCCTTGATTATCGTGATTATTGGCGACTTTGAACCCTTCGAGCTCAAAATCGGGAGCGGGGTCATTTTTTTCCGCCTGTTCGAATTTTATCGGCCTTCCAGCTGGCTGCCAAACTAAAGATAAAGCTGACAAATTACAGTAAGTGACACAAGAAGGCAGCGAAGGCCGGGCAACCTGTGGGATTGCAATCTGAGATCTGCGTTATTTTCAGTCACCACCATCGCCTTCTCCAACCACGTCCTCACTCTCGTCTTGGCTAGAATTGTGCCCTGATGCGTGGAGGCATTTTTCGGCAAACTGAATCGGTACCTTAATAGACATTGACCGCTTTCACAGCGGCACGTACCCGTAGGATTTACTATGTTCAGAAAACATTTGCCATATTATGTTACTTCTGTTCAGGGTTGTTCTTTTTGCCTTGCAAGAGTTTTAAGTGTCAGCGTCCGTTGGTTCACGTCAGGGCTGTGTTAGTGGGTGAACAAGGGGTGCAGTTATATCTGGCCACAGTAATGTTCAAGGGCCCAGGTCTTAATAATAATTGCTTACACTTATATCGCGCTTTTCTGGACACTCCACTCAAAGCGCTTTACAGGTAATGGGGACTCTCCTCCACCACCACCAGTGTGCAGCCCCACCTAGAAGATGCGACGGCAGCCATAGTGCGCCAGTATACTCAACACACACCAGCTATTAGTGGGGAGGAGAACAAAGTGATGAAGGCAATTCATAGATGAGGATTATTAGGAGGCCATGATTAGTAAAGCCAGGGGGAACTTTGGCCAAAACCCAAGTAACACCCCTGCTGTTTTCAAGAGATGCCCTGGGATTTTTAATGACCTCAGACAGTCAAGACCTTGGTTTTACGTGTCACCTGAAGGACGGCGCCCTTTTACAGTGTAGTGTCCCCGCCACTATACTGGGGCATTAGGACCCACACAGACCGCAGGGTGAGCACCCCCTGCTGGCCCCACTAACACTTCTTCCAGCAGCAACTGTAGCTTTCCCAGGAGGACACCTGCTGAGCTCCAGTGGGCTGCCCGTTGTGAGTTGTAGGGTGATATGGCTGCTATGGCTGTCTTGGAGCAAGTGGGGATTATCAGTACCCTTGGAAAATTGTATCCACACTTCCCTAAGAGCAAAACAGGGGAATCAGATTTAGGTTAGATAGCACTTAGATATCTAACTGTATACGATTCACAGAATGCTTTGAGTTCCTGGAAGCAGCAAGACTTTCATTTTTCAAAGCACTGTGAAGTCTGGGTGGTGGAAATGTCTGTGGGAATATGGTCTCAAGACATTCCGTCTTACAACGCACGTCCTGTGTCCTCTCTCCAGCCCGAATGCGGACTACACCACAATGAGCAGCACATGGCCATCGGTCTGGGTCAAGATCACATCCAGCTGGATCTGCCTGCTTCTGTACGTGTGGACCCTGATCGCACCCATTGTGCTCACAAACCGAGATTTCAACTGAAGGAGGAACATCTTCCCCAGTTCATCCCCTCCTGTAAAAAGCCAAAACTCTCATTGCTTTTTGTTGTTGTTTTGTTCCAGTTAGAACAAATTATTATTGCATTATTGGGTATTTTTGACAGTTTTTTTTACTTTGGACAAATTGTCATGTATATCAACATGAGATCAATGTTACTGGATTAGTCTGAACATAGTGGTACCTAACTCTTGGGGTCCTTGGGTTGTGTACACTTCACATGAAGTATTGAGAAAACGTTCAAGTTAGGTTTGTCTGAAGAGGAATGATTGTCAGCATTAAGTTGATTCAAGTACACTAGCTATTTTACTTTTCTAGTCATGATCTCGGAATGTATTTGTTAGTAAAGCTTTTTTTGCAATTTTACTGTTAATATATTTTAAGTCCTGTCTGACTGGTTTGGTGGAAATTGCAAACGTCAGCTTGTGTACTACAATAACTTAACTCTCAGGCTGCAGAAGCACTTCTCTTACCTTGGACAAAATCTAATTTAAAAGGCACAGATTTAAATAAGAGATTGTAATCCAATATAACACACTATGATTTTCCTGAGATCAACTTAATGCCTTATGTTTCATTAATGATGCACTTTATAAATGTATTTCTTTCTTTAAAAAGTTTTGAAGTTTATCTATGTTGAAAACTATTTCAGGTAATATTGAAAAGCTATGATTAATGGAGATACTAGATGCTTTTGCCAAATATTTGTAGAAGTATTTTTTACCTGTTTGTCTGAATTGCAGCTAAAGGATTGCAGACAAAGAAAATGAAATCTTTCTCTAAGATAGTTGTATGCTTGAGTAAAACAACTTGTATGCACTTCCTTGCTTTGCACTATGAAAAAATAAATTTTTGTGATTAGATTGGCCTGCTTTCATTAACAGTTAAACATAATCAACATTTACAGAGGAATTGTCCTGAACAGGTTTTAAGGGGGTTTCACACCAGTCTTGGAAAACCTTCTTTCTCGCAGAGAATTACAGTGTATGCCGTGTATTACTGCGTAGGACATGTGCTGTACACACAAGCCCTGGGAACAGAAAAATCAAGATTCTAAGAGGGAATCAGTTGCATCACCGCAGATTAAAATAAACCCAGTTCAGTACTTCCTCTTGAGTCAACGGCAACTTGTCACTTTTGGGGATGTGAAGTGTTTATTTTAAAAAAAGGGGAAATTGTTCTGTTTAACCTAAACTTTTAAATGCTGTATATATACGGCTAGCAAACTGCTAATCATAAATCTATCCTTTTACTGATTGTTTTATACAATACAAGATCACAGGGGAGCCGGAGATCGTGCCAGCAATCTACAGGTGCAAAGCAGGATACATCTTGGATGGACCCCAGTCTATTGTAGGGCACACACAGACACAAATGCGCACACACTCACACCGGAGCCAGTTTTGCCAGAAGCCAATTAATGGAACAGGATGTCTCCAGGCTATGGAAGGAAACCAGAACACCTGTCAGGAAACCCAAGTGAACCAAAGGAGAACATGCAAACTCCACCCAGACAGCACCCCAGGAATTTAACCCAGGTCCCCAGCCCTTTGAAGCAGCAGTGCTTGCCACTCTGTCACCATGATCCCTACAAATTGCAGTCCAGTACCAAGTTTCTTTGCCAGATATTTTTTCCTCCCACCCACTGTTTCATCTGCCTGAATTTCTTTTACATACCTCCGTTTCAAGTCAGTTGCTGCTCTCTCCTCCTTCATTGACCGCAGGAATCTGATCATTTCTCAGGCCTCTGTTGTTTGAGCTCATGTCTCTCACCAATCTCATGCAACACTGACCACGGCGCCAGATCTCAGATCTGTCATCTTTCATGAGGAAAACAACACAATGAATTTGTAAACGTTCATATAAATCTCTTAAAACGATCTATTCAGAAATACTCTGAATGGTTAAACAATGTTAAATGATTATGTGACATGGAGTGTTTCTCTGACCTGTGTGATATGCCTAGGCCCACAGTCCAACGGGTTTTATAGGTCTTCATCAACAATAAGAACAGCTGAAGACTGTGTAAAACTACAACCATGAAACTAAAGGTTAGCTCAGTGGAATCACTGCAGGAGGAATGAAAACCTAAATAGACTGTGACTCTGGAGCATAACTGCACAATCAACCCAGTGGACTTCTTCGGGATTAAGAGTGAAACACGAACCCCTTGAGGATACAGGTGGAGACTATTTGGGAAGTGAAATGTCTCTCAACTACGTTATCAACCTTGTTGCTGAAATCAAAACTCGGGCTTTCTTTCTCCCAGCACCTGTATGTGATCTCTGTATCAGAGGGGGCAATGGAACAGTGGTTCAAATTGCTGACTCACAGCGCTGGATGCTGTGTGTGTGGAGTTTGCACGTTCCCTTCAAGTTTGCATGGGTTTCCTCCGAGTGCTCCGGTTTACTCCCGCAGTCCAACGACATACTGGTAGGTTAAAAGGCTTCTGTAAAAACTGGTCCTGGTGTGAGGGTGTGTGTGTTTGTGTCTGTGTGTCCTCTGATGGACTCTTGTCCCATTCAGGGTGAATCCTGCCTAGAGCCTGTTGCTTGCTGGGTTAGGTTCCAGTGCCCCCAGCAAACGTATTTAGAAAATGGATGGATAATTAAGCACACTACTGTATATGAACCAAATGTTTTCTTTTAGTTTATAACCGTTTTTCTTATGTAGTTGTGCAATACTGTTCTGTGGTGTTCACTGTACTGTGGGTTTGCCAGAAAGAAATAGAATTTACATTTTCATTGCTGTTATGTAATTTATTAACTCAGGATTGAGAAAAAAATCAGCTCTGACACCCTTTGGCACCCTTTCATTTGAAACAATGTTGTATATAAGTATTCATTGTAGGATAGTTTGTAGCAAATGTCATCCTAGCAAGTTCTGATATTCCTGATCAATTATTTATGCTAATGTTTGGTATTGGCAACTCTTGTGTTTAGTTTATTTGCCTAGAATTACAGCTTGTGGGAATAAACAATGATTAATATAATAATAATCAATATGCTTGCAGTATATATATAGGAGTTAATTTTTGATATCATAAATAAATTAGTAACACTGTTGCCAATGCTTTCTGTCTTCAGCTGGATGTGAATAATATCATTTCTATTAATAATCAATAATATCATATCTAATAGCATTATAAAATATTTGCTGTTAACTTCAAATTTAACACTTTAGACCACAATACAATTTTTAGCCATGCAAATTCTGGTAATGGTGACTATTTTATTACCTCTTTACACCTACAGAGTTGTAGGCAGCACTTAAATTGTAGTGGAGTTGAGATGCAGCTTTTCCCTTAAAAATCATTAACAGCTGGGCTGAACTAGTGACTTCCAGGTACAGAATATTACCATGCTGCAGACATAAATAACACACAAAATGCGAGTACAATATATTTAAAGAAACTACACAATGGTAATTTAATGCTATAGAAAACTCTAGTACACAGATCCATATATGTCCAACATAGATCTTTACAGTAACATTTGGCAAAACAATGAATGTTCTGCGCTAATAATCTAAATGGCTCTTAACCAACTCCTACCTTTTTGTGGTGGTCAGATCTGTTCCTCACTCTCCACACTTCACAGGCTGGAGTTGCCTGGAAACTCCTGTGATTTCTTCAGTGGATCATTGGGCCATGCTGTTTACTTGCTCCTTTTCAGCGTGTTTGAAATTTGCAGCAGCTACTGTAGGAAAATAGTGAGGCACAGCGTTTAAAGATAAACGGGTTACTTAAACGAGTGGTGGAACACTCCGGTTCTGGCGCTGCATCACCCTGCCAGCTTTCTAACTCTGTCGAACACTTCAGGATTTAGAGAGTTGGAAAATATACATCCTACTGATCGAAAAAGTTGTTCAATTAATTAAAAAAAACAGCACAGCTGAGATACAAACCAGAAACCCTGTTCTCTAAAGATGTGATTTTCAGCCTTTTCTAGTTCTAACACTACATTTTCAAAAAGGAAGAGGGCCTACTGATCGAGAAATTAGTTCAATTAATTAAAAAAACAGCACAGCTGAGATACAAACCAGAAACCCTGTTCTCTAAAGATGTGATTTTCAGCCTTTTCCAGTTCTAACAACATATTTTCAAGAAGGAAGAGAGCCTACTGATCGAGAAATTAGTTCAATTAATTAAAAAAAACAGCACAGATGAGATACAAACCAGAAACCCTGTTCTCTAAAGATGTGATTTTCAGCCTTTTCCAGTTCTAACAACATATTTTCAAGAAGGAAGAGAGCCTACTGATCGAGAAATTAGTTCAATTAATTAAAAAAAACAGCACAGATGAGATACAAACCAGAAACCCTGTTCTCTAAAGATGTGATTTTCAGCCTTTTCCAGTTCTAACACCACATTTTCAAGAAGGAAGAGAGCAGTCATCAGCTGATAACTTGTCCTTCATACCAGTGGTACAGCTTTCACATATCCGTATAGGGCCTGTGTACCACAGGTCAGGATTCACTCGTCTAAGGGAGCAGCTAATCAGGAATCAATTCCAGCACTCTGGAGAGCGATTGCCTGCTCCAGCCCTCCAGACACGCTGGATCACCTGGTTGCTTTGCTTCCAAAACCTCTAAACAAATGTTTACCAGATAATGACCTTGCCGCATTAGGTTAACTAGTAGAAATGTGTTAATTGTGTTAAACCAGTATGACAGGGGAGCAAGATGTTTATTTAATACAATGTCCATTGGAGTAGAAATTACTTCCCCAAGAAACATCATAACTGCTTTAAATTGCATAAATACCCTGGCTCTCACACCCTGATGAGTAATTACTAGCTCCTAGGCTCTCAATACCTGACCATGACAAAATAAAACCTGCCTATTATACTTTTTAGTATATGTCCACCCAATCTGGCCTCACCAATTTTGTCCTCTCATCTTGGTGCTGAGCAGGCACCTCCATACCCACCTTGTACAGTTGGTAAGCCCGGGCTGAGCTCTACGAACCAGACGTTCATGCCTGGATCATGAACCCCACATTCCCCAAGCTGGGGACTTGACGCTGGGGATGGGAGCAGTTTGGCCAGGACTCTCTCTGCTACCCGTGAACCAGGGTCTCATGTTGTCTACACTCCCTCCTTCTGCCCTGCATTTACTTGCAGGATTCAGGGCCGTGAGCCTTAACTTGAAAATGCACAAAACCGATAACAAAATAACGGGGTGGGGGAAAAAGCCTCCTCGGTACCAATTTCTTTATTTTCCACTGCCACAGCAACCTCATCGTTTCATATTATTGCTGCTGTAATTACAATAAAACACAATTGACAGTATTGACATTTCCCCAGCACAACTGAATTTTCATTATTTTCTTACAGGTACACACTTATTCCGAGACAGTGAAATAAAGTGCTATCTACATCTCTGTTAAGAAACAAGCCTTTACCTTGACATCGATAACATGGGTTAGGGCCTCATTCAAGACCTGAAGGAAATCAAAACTGAAAGGATAATACATTGGAGCACATACACTTTCCCTTTATCACTGTTTCCTTTGTAACTTAGTCTCCATATACCCATAAAAAGGCAACAGCATCTGGGTTTTACTTTTAACCTCCTTGTCTCCGAGTACCTTTGTTAGAATATATTTGATTCGCATTTAATTTTCTGTATTGACCAGACTGTAGAAACAATACAACAATTTTCATTAACAGCAGGCCTTTTTCCATGTTCTTCTTCTTTAAACTTGTACAGAGATTTTCTGGACACTCCACTCAAAGTGCTTTTCAGGTAATGGGGTCTCCCCTCCATCACCACCAGTGTGCAGCCCCACCTGGATGATGCGATGGCAGCCATAGTGCACCAGTACGCTTAGTACACACCAGCTATCAGTGGGGAGGAGAACAGAGTGATAAAGCCAGTTCAGAGATGGGGATTATTATGGGGCCATGATTAGTAAAGGTTAATGGGAAACTTGGCCGGGACACCAGGGTTACATCCCTACTCTTTTTTTAAAAAGATGCCCTGGTATTTTTAATAACCATGGAGGGTCATCACCTTGGTTATATCTTTCATCTGAAAGACGGCATCTTTTATACAGTATAGTGTCCCCATCACTATACTGGGGCATTAGGACCCACCCAGATGCCATGGTGAGCACTGATCCCACTGACACCTCTTCCAGCAGCAGCCTTAGTTTCCCAGGAGGTTTCCCATCCAGGCACAGGCCAGGCTCCCACCTGCTGAGCTTCAGTGGGGCTGCCAGTGGTGAGTTGCAGGGTGAGACAGCTGCTATTATGTGAGTGACAGTGAGGTCAGAAGATTAGCTGGGTTCCCTAGCCTGAAATCCCACTTAATCCAGTCTCCACATACAAGACCACCCCTGTGTGTTTTCCTGTAGGGAGGATCTGGGCAGGCGAGCACCAGCCATGTGGCTGAGGTACAGCTGAACATATAAGCCTCTTGAGATTGACCTGTCAGTATCAATTTACTGAAGGGTGAACACCATCTACCCCTCTAGAACCAAGCTCGTTGAAAGTAATTTTATAGTGTACATTTATGATTGTGGCAACCCTGCTCTTCCAAACACCTTACTTCACATGGTAGTATCTATGTATAGGTTGTGCTTCCCTAAAGCTTAGCCTCATAGCTTGCATGTAAGATTTTCAACTACTGAGAGCTGACTCAAAGTTGACCCAATTCTGGAAAAATGTCTCATATTCTGTGACCTAGTTAATACAGGTTTGCACAACCTAGTATGCACTGAATAACTTTCCCTTAACTTTCAATTCCAATTCAATTCCTCATGGCGCAATTTCAGGGCAGCTGCCATAGTGACGAGGTCTCATGGAGAACCAGGCCAGCTGTCGCAGCTCTGTACAAAGCAGCATTAATTTGGCAGGACAGCAGCGAAGGAAACTTTTCTACCACATTCATCTCAATAGAAATGTGAGAAATTCCCAATTTGGAAAAAGCACTTATAGAGGAAGTTCTCAATTTTTGGTAAAACAACACCATAGAAAATAACCTGGCAACCACACAATCTTAATTTCTAAAAATCATTAAGAATATTGAACAATCTCACAGCACAATACTGATTAAATCCCCTAATTTAAATACAATTTCATGTTTAACAAAAAAAAACAAGCAATGTTATTATTGCTCTGGGGTAGTGCTGTTCTACGTTAGCAAACACTTACAATATGATATAGGACATGAGCTTTCTAAATGGACTTATTATTACAAAGACTTATGATTCTACATAAATGATTGTATTGAAATAAGCTACAAAATAACATTAGGGACACAGGCATACATTTATCAAAGGAGCATACTGCTATGAGTGAAGCCACACTAAAATCAAGATCACATAAGAAGCATTTTTACTTCAGAACAGAACAGATTTAACTGATTTAACAAATGTTTGGTACACAATACCGGACTTTCAAATCAAAACTCTGCCGTTGAATGACTCGTACCCCAAATATATGAAAACATAAATCAAATTATGTTCCTTCCTTATAACATTCAAAATATGATTCTGGCCGTCATAATAAAATCTAAAAACGGAAGCTGCACAGCTTATATTTTTCAGTGTTTGGTACTTCCAGCTGTGTGCCATGTTTTTAATTAAAACCTGTACCCTTACTCCAAGCCTTGTAGCATTTGACATTTACGTTACATTTGCACAGCTGCTCATTTGAGTTTCTCGTTAAGATCTGCCCAGCAGCTTCACGAGTAAAGATGAAGTGAACTGAGCAATTTTACTTAAACTGGGGTTTTATTTCAGAAACGAATTTGGAAAAATAGCAAACAAATTGTGCTGCGGTGGCCTTTAGCTTTTATCCATGAAAAACGGTGTGTTATTGGCACTTAAAAACATCGTGGTTAGTCGTGACCCAGCAGCTTGTGTTTCAACTTGAGAACAGTACCCCAAGGGTGGTTGGGTCAAGGGTCGTTGGGTCAAGGGTCAGCAATCACGTCAGTAACAGTAATACAACTGGGAGCGGACACCCCTGTAGGAGTCCTCACACTGGGTGCTGGAAAGTTCACCTTCAAAGAGGACTGAGTCAGGGATAGCAAGGCTCTCCAGTGGGTCAGGCTGGCAAAACGCCACTACAAACTCCTCCTCCGAGTCCAACAGTGTTCTGGCCCAGACACTAGAGTCCAGCCGCCCGGATACGCCACCGTACTCTTCCGGCAGGACTGAGCGAGGGATGCTCCGGTGCAGGGAGTTCAGGTCAGACCCATGCAGAATGTACTGGAACAAACAAGCAAATACGTAGTGGAGATGGAGTTTTTCACTTGTCACCACTGCTTTACACAAAAGAACACTACTTTCCACGGTGTTTGATTGTTTTAAAGTTGTTCAAATTAGCACCAGGATAGTAATAATTCCCAACAGGCAGAATTTCATTTTTTTTTTTGTCTCCCACTGGCTCTTAACCTGATGAAGGTGTTCATAAATATATGAAGATGCCAATCAAACTGCGAGACAAAACGGGTGTGGCAAAAGGGAACATTCCTGTTTTTGCCTTAAAAATGAATGGGCTCTCTTTTGAAAAAGAAAAAAAGGGAATACATTCAGCATTGTGGCAAATTGCTTTGAAAGTAGTCCTGTAAGTGTGCTGACCTCTTCACTAGCCTACAGCAAATCTGCTTTTACTCTTTATTCAGCAAGGTTAGCCTCCATATTGCAGGCATTTCCCCAGTTCTGCATGAAGCATAAAAACCCTTTACCTGTGGAAGTAAATATTAAAGACTGTATGCAGTGGTGCTATTTGGTTGTTTTTAAGTTAGTATAGTATTTCCTGGCACAGGCTGTTCTTCATCAGCTCGCAGGAAGCTCGTACTCATTCCAGTCTCTTCATAATTGGGATGTGTGTTATGCTGGGCCTCATTCCAGTTTATGTTTCTTTAAAAAGCAAAATTCAGCCATATTTGTTCCTGTTGCTTTAACTCATCATTACAATGAAATGTCATTGTTTCTCGGCATTTACAACTGTAAAATGTAAAGTTCATGACCTTTGAAATACACAGTGCTAGCTGTTTTTGAAGGAATTGTATCCTTTATCTCATTAGCAACTAAAGAGCACACTTTCAGTGTAGGTACCATCAATATTTATCCAGGTACGTCTGAGTACAATGAAACTTTTTAACCCTTAATTATTAAGGGTTTACAATTATAATTATAGAGGTAAACTGTAATTCAACATATACTCATATGAACCCAGAAGCATAGCAATCCTATCTGTGTAAACCAATGCCATGAAGCTACGTGAATCTTCTTATGCTGTGATTCTACCTGAATCTCCTATTCTGAGAGGATTTTACAGGAGAATGTGAAGAAGCAAGTGACCAAGGACGTTCTCTCTCAAACCCAGAGGATGGGAGGAGGGGTTGGGATTCATCCACACCCTGTGGGAATGAGTGAAACAAATTGATCTAGCTGGCCAGGCGTGAAGAATCACACCTATAACCAGGTTCTCAGATTATGGCCCTAATCATCTGCCAAACAGTTTGTAATTAAAAGATCGGTCCTCACTTGATGGCATAACTGGACAGCCCAAACAGGGAAACGCAGGAAAATCGGCAAACAAAGTCAATTGCTTTTGAATTCCATTTAGCCAGAAATACAGAATTCACAGCACAGGTTCCTTTCATTCACAAAACTGTCAAAAATTGCGGTCAGTATGTTTGCAGAAAATGCATAATGTTTTAACAGATGAACGTGTTTATACTTTATATGAACGAAAACACAGGACACAAGTGTCTGCACATCTAAATCCGGGCACTGTTTTTTTTGTGTATTTTTTCCTCCCTCCTAAGTTGGCTTGGGGGGTAATATCTTTGAAGCAGGATAAAAGTCTTCGTCATGCAACGTGGGAGGAAGCGTTCTGCAGCCCTGCTGTTAGCAAACTGAAGACTAACGAAAGAATGATCTGTTCATGCAACTTGGGCAACTGCCAAAGAGATGAGGCAAATGTCATCTTGGGAAGAAAGAAGTCTTAAGTTCACTCTCTAACATGGCTGCACAGAATTAAACCCGTTTAAATGGCAGTTTATAAAGGAGAACAAAAACTTGGCCCGTTACTCACTCTTTCTGCCATCTTCTCCTTGAGAAAAGGCTTTATGATTGCAAAGATCCCCTTGAAAATCCTGGGCTCGTTTATGATGTTGACCGCTTTGATTCTAATGGGAAACCCATCCTATGACACAGGAGAAAACCCGTTAAGAGCCCATATCCCTCTGCTATCGAGACAAACACAATGACGAATTCATGTGTTCATGCTAGCAAAACTAAGAAAGCTTTGCGGTTTGCTGACAGAACATGACGTAGTCCTTACAGATGTTTCCAGCCTGAAGCATAGATTCAAACCGGGCTCATATCAGAAGCGAAATGAGTTTGGTGTACTGATTCAAGATGTCTAACGTGGACACGTCACAAAACCAGAACACAAACTGTCATACTCGGGCAACTTGTTGTAGAAATGGCTGAACTGAAAAGGCTGTTTGATTCTGGGCCACAAGCAGAACAAGATCTGTCTCAATGAGATGGATTTTAGCAACAATACTTTGCTGATTCTAAGGTTTAATTCAAGTAGTGCCGACAGAAAACGTTCTGTAAGATGTCCCTTACCTGCAGAATGCCCACAACCTTCTTTGCCAAGAAAGGGCCAAGGTTAGAGGCCTGTGACAAGCCGACCCCATTGTAGTCTGTGAGGATCACGATTCCGTTAACCTGCGTCTCTTCTGGCTGAATCAGCTTCTCCAGGGTGAGGTATATGGCTCGGACGTTATCTACAAAAGGGTAGTCACTGGGCTTCCACTTTCCTGTAAAAGAACGCAAAGATCAACATCAGAACACCAGACTTCCGCAACACCCAATCCAGAAAGCAAGCGTATCCTCCGAGTGCCTCTGGAACTGATACAAACTGAGAAATCACATTCTGTCAGGGTCGCCAGGTCTTTGCTCAAAAAAAGAGCTGCTTACAGGACATACAGTACAAAGAAGTATAGTGAAAAAGAAAACTGTTTAAACACTTATATTTCCAAATACAAAGGCACTGCAGTCAGAATATCATCAGAGTATTACTGCTTTATTTAAAAACCTTATTTTACTTAAAGGGGAACTGCAGTCCCCAGTTTCTCAGACCGGCTATTAAATCGCAGTAACAACATCAATTCTAAATTCGTCGATGTTCTAGAAAAAAGGTGCAAATTTCGAATGAAGCGAAATATCGTGACCTTTCTGGAAGTACTGTGTTGTCGCAAACTGGCATTCGAGTTCCCAAGAATTGTCACGCGCTGCGGCCCTTCCTGCTCACTAGTCTCCAGAATGACTCATGTAATGTAGCAGACCTTTCACTGCAGAAATGTTCCACCGGGATCTGCATGCAGAGTTAACAAGTAGCATTTGTCGGCTAAACTGTCTTAAAGTCTGGAGCAGTATTTCTTTTGGATTAAAAGAGATGTATTCACAAGCGTGCTCGTTTACAGTGTAATAGGGCTGCATCACCTCACCGGAAGTTTTGTTGCCTCGTTCTGAATCTCAGAACAAGGTGCTGCGCATACCAGGAAATGTAATGTATTTTGTGATGTAAATTGTAGGTTTTACAAGTTACTGTCTACATTTTACTTTCACTGTGGTTTGAAATGCACTCATCAATGCCGATTCTTTCTAACCATGAAATATAGAGACAGAGGTGCAGTCCCCTTTAAAAGCTGATTTGTTTGAAAGCCGATTGGTGCGCTGCGACTTTTGCGGACTCGTACAGGCTAACAGGGCGGAGCAGTGGCTCTGTGGCTAAGGATCTGCACCTGTGGCTGGATGGTTGCCGGTTCAAATCCTGCAGCTGGCAGAGGAATCCTGCTCCGTTTGGGCCCTGAGCAAGGCCCTTCACCCCAACTGCTCCAGGGGCGCCGTATGAGTGTCTGACCCTGCGCTCTGACCCCCAGCTTCTCTCCCTGTCTGTGTGTCTCATGGAGAGCGAAAAGACAAATTCCTGATACAAGAAACTGTATATGGCCAATAAAGTGATCTCTCTCTCTCTCCAACAACCTGATTTCCGGGCTCTGCCGGGTTCGTCCGGTTCGACTCTGCGGGGAGAAGACGTACCGGGCTGCAGACACAAGATGAAGCGGCCCTGGGGGTCAGGGCGGGGCAGGACGGTGAGGAAGCCCGAGCCCAGCACGTGCCTCACGGCGGAGGGGCGCAGGTCGCGGAAGACCTCCGGCCACAGCCGGCGGCTGGCGTGGTAGTTGAGCAGCAGCTGCAGCGCCCGGTCGTAGTCGAACTTGCGGGCGCGGAGGAAGCGCAGCAGGAAGGCGTCGTCCAGGCGCGTGCTCAGCCGGGGCTGCTCCTTCAGCACCATGTCCCGCAGGGCCTGCACATCGCGCAGCCGCCACTCCGGCTTCTCCTGCAGCTCCTCCCGGGCCTTGGCCACCAGCTCGGGCGTCAGGGTGCAGCGGTACGCGGCAGGCGGCGGCGGCGGGGGGAATCCGTTCCTGACGCCCGGCGGATCCTCTGAAGGCCCGACATCTGTAAAACCACTGTCTTCTGCCATGGGACACCTGTGTACCGCTGGGGGAGATACAGAGATAGAGGCCTGGCCGCATGCACAATCATCACGAGGGCACATGGACAGCTCTTACAGAAGACAAACACGATGTCTAACCCCGCGCAGCTCTGTAGCATCAGTGCTAGAGTGCATCAGCCCACTTTCTGAAAAGCACTTTTTGATTTTGTTACTAATCAATCAAAGAAAACCAATCCTAATATACATAATGATAACTGCTAATACTTATATAGCGCTTTTCTGGACACTCCACTCAAAGCCCTTTACAGGTAATGGGGACTCTCCTCCACCACCAGCAGTACGCAGCCCCACCTGGGTGATGTGACGGCAGCCATAGTGCGCCAGAACGCCCTCCACACACCAGCTCTCAGTGGGGAGGAGAGCAGAGTGATTTAGCTAGTTCAGAGATGGGGATTATTAGGAGGCCATGATTGGTAAGGGCCAATGGGAAGTTTGGCCAGGACGCCGGGGTTACACCCCTACTCTTTTCAAGAAGCACCCTGGGATTTTTAATGACCACAGAGAGTCAGGACCTCGGTTTTATGTCTCATCCGAAGGACGGCACCTTTTTACAGTATGATGTCCCCCTCACTTTACTGGGGCATTAGGACACACATGGACCCCAGGGTGAGCGCCCCCTGCTGGCGCCACTAACACCTTTTCCAGCAGCAACCTTAGTTTTTCCCAGGAGGTCTCTAACCTAGATACTGATCAGGCTCACACTGCTGAGCTTCACTGGGGCTGTCAGTGATGAGTTGCAGGGTGATATGGCTGCTGACAATACATACTTGTATATTTTTCTGAAATACATAAAATAAAAACTACTTCATTTGCAAATTGCTGTAAAGGCCTCTCAATATGTGGATTGCAGGTGTACATGAGTATGCAAATCACCCCTAGGTTAAAGGAAAAACATTGATTTGTCTTAAACCGTGCATGAATAATGCTCATGTCCCTTGGCTTGGTAAAAATAAGGCACAAAAGACAGAATCCAAAGGAAAAGAATCCTAGATACACAAGGCATCCTGATCTGTTCGCAATCAATGATTCTAAGACTAAAGTTCAGAATTACAGTCACATTCCACTAAATTGATCAGCATGTAGTAGCTACACACTGCACTAGCAGGCAGAGAAGGCTGCTCCCATCTGATTCTAATGGGCTCAGCAAAGAAGCACTTTGCTCTCAAGCCTCATAAGTAGACAACCTCATTCTACTTTCTTGACGTATCCCACCAGATCATTGCTTTATTACTTATTGTCCTTAGACCTTAAGTGCAAAGCAACCCTGGAGTAGATCAGGTGAAGAAGCAACTGAGACATGTTCTTGCTAATGGAAAGATTCCCCTCTCAGCCTCGCGAGCACCTTTTTTTAACCAATTTGAGCGGCATGAGAAGGAATGATAGGAGATATGTTGAGTGCGCACATGCCTGAACAGATATCTCATTGCGCCATTCGTTTCACGCAAGGGTTCCTATATAAAACAAGTGGCCACCCTCATTTAACCATGTGAAAAACGTCACATACTACAAACATCGACAGTACGCTGATACTACAAGCCATGCTCAATATAGATTTAACTGATCCACGACAGCTTGACAGTTGTATTCCTTTATTGCCACGCATAATTTGTTTTTCCCTCAGCATAATGGGTAGCATTAGGACCTAAATTTAGAAAGATGCTCAACACGGTATTCTCAGTACATCATCCTAGCTAGACTCAACAATACAGCTACTTAGAAATGTGATACAAGAAATACTAAGCACACAAGCGGTACCATTCCTTGTGTACACGCTGGTATTGCTACACTTAATTGATATATATAGGTACATACCTATATTTATCTTGCGATTTATTTGTACTGCTGCTACAACATCTTATTCTTGTACAAGTCTTATTCCTGATTTCTTACAAATCTGGATTCGACAGATACAACGTTGCGCAACAGAAACCCTCAGACACAATGTCCCCTCAGTGTAACACCATATGTAAACTGTGCTCCTAAAAATATACAACTTAATCGCGTCATAAACTTAGTGATTCGTGTTTAGAAACAATAAACCCCTAAGCCACTGACCTGAGTCTTTCTCACTTCCGGGTGCTCTGAGCTTCCTCGTTTCCAGCGTTGTGAATGGCCACTCCACGGCACGTGACTGATCACGTCATTATTACTTTAAAAGAGCAATACACCTCCTGCGCGCAGCAGAAATCCATTACTTGAGTGTTGTGGAGTCACCCGCACACTAAACTGAGGGGAATCGGGATAAAATATTGCCTTGAGTGCAAATTGTGTCTTTAATAAAAATCACAAACATGCAACAGACAATGGTGGCATAAAATACCAGAATGGCCCAATTTAGTTACCATTACAGCCCCGTTTAGGAAGGGTCACCTACTGTAAGTCAGAGCTGGCGTGTTTTCTTCTCAATATGTTTACATAGTGTTTTCTCTTCATTTGATCTTGAGTTTTTGATGAATCTCGTCATATTTTAACAAGATCTGTTCTAAGACAAGACAATTGTGATCCATCCAGCCGAAACGTTGTGTTTTTCTTCTCTTTTCAGCAGGGAATAAACTTGATCCTTTGCAGCCTACGCACGCTGACGCAGCTACCGACTTGAACTACTTCAGTTATACATACAGTCTACTTAATATCGTAAAGATGACCTAAAATTGGGAAAATTGTACTAAATAGCCTGGCATTGTATGGCTTGTTATCAAAGCTGCTCCAGTTCAGCTTTGCTCTGAAGTCAAAGCTGAACTGGAGCAGCTTTGACTTAAGCCATAATTTTTAAATGAAAAACGTTTATTTTCCCCGAAATACTGTCGACATTCTCGTGTTTTTCGGTGTTTCTCCTTTTTTTAAATCCAAATATTTTATATTGCATATATACGCATTACAGTTTGGTGCTATATTAGTAATGGAGGGATGTCAGATCAGGGAAAAGATTGGTAAGGCGCATCCAATCCCAGGATGTTTCTCGAAAAAGAGTAGGGATGTTACCCCGGCGTCCTGGCCAAATTTCCCATTGGCCCTTACCAATCATGGCCTCCTCTATGAATTGGCTTCATTACTCTGCTCTCCTCCCCACTGATAGCTGATGAGGTGAGCGTGGTGGTGAGCGTTCTGGCGCACTATGGCTGCCGTCACTTCATCCAGGTGGAGCTGCACACTGGTGGTGGTGGAGGAGAGTCCCCATTACCTGTAAAGCGCTTTGAGTGGAGTGTCCAGAAAAGACCTATATAAGTGTAAGCAAGTATTATAATTATTATAACTATTATTACCTGTACCAATGTGAAAGGGACTTTCCTTATTAAAAACAAGATGTAGCCGCCGTGACCATACGAAATCATCGGCAAACGGCGCCACCCGCTGGTGATATAAATTGGGCTGATTCGAGATTCAGATATGAAAAGTTGTGTTCTTACTGTGCTGTTTGACACCAAATGTATTTTTTATTCACGAGATAGCGAATCGTGAGCATTTTGTCTTTCCACGAGTTTGCCTGACGATGTATTACAATGTTTTATACAATATACAATATTTTATTGAATGTATAGTAATAATCTGTTCTTCGTTGTTATAATCTTTACGTCAAGTGTAATTCATGGGAGGGAGCGATTTCAGCGTTTGTAAAGGCGACAGGCCTCTGTTTTCAATTCTGTGACAAATTAGTTAAAATAGTATTTCAGTTTGTGCTGGATACCCTAACATGACGCAACTGTAACCTTACTTTATTGTATTGTTGCTTCGAATTCTTTGTTTCCTTACTCAGTTTTATTTATAAATATTTTATATTCCTTTGCTCCGTTCTATTTCTCAGTTTTGTCCTTTACCTAAACTAATAACTATAGTATGGAGAGGCGCACGGAATGCAGTCTTTGTAATAACAATAATTGCTTACACTTATACTGTATAGCGCTTTTCAGGACACTCCACTCAAAGCCCTTTACAGCTAATGGGGATCCCCTGCAGCCCCACCTGGATGATGCGACGGCAGCCACAGTGCTCCAGTACACTCACCACACACCAGCTCTCAGTGGGGAGGAGAGCAGAGTGATGAAGCCAGTTCAGAGATGGAAATTATTAGGAGACCATGATTGGTAAAGGCCAATGAGAAATTTGGTATCTCCTAATCAGTGAGCTTTTGCAACAACTTTAACAGCGCTGTGGCCTTATTGTAGAAGCGATGAGGGTCAGATGAAGGAGAAGAAGCGTTTAACCAGAAATGGGAATTATACTATTTACGTAAGTTTTTTACTGTAGTACGTATAATTGACTAATGTGCAGTATTTTGTCAGATAAAGATTTAGCATGATCCTAATTAGTTGAATTAGGGGAAAATCTGGATGTTTCATTACGTCCTTACAGAAATACAATTCTGTCGAAATAGCTCTATAACATTCGTTTACTAGATAAACTAAAACTGACGTGTATGCATTACTGCGATCGCGAGTCTCATGGGAAGCTGTAATTATAAAACTTCGTCGCTAGGAGGCGCAGCGAGGTTTTGGAATCAACACAGGTACTGTATAATGCATTTGCAAGACATCAACGCCATTACATCAAATAGATTATTACACTTCTAATAATCGCTGGGCCTCGGCCATCGCTGCGTGTTAACCAGCGTCTGATACATTGAACAGTTTTATATACAGTAATCAGAGCCTTAATATACTGCATTTAGTGTCATACATACATTTGCAACGTGATGTTAATGTTCTATGTAAATTGCGAGTAATATTCTTTATTGAACTCTTGTTTGAATTAATTTTGAAAAAATGGGCAGCAACACCTTTTCCAATGCTTTTCACAGTTCTGAGTGAGAAATATTTGATCACTAACTCCACCCTTATGTAACGCATACAGCCTCCATTGCTTGCGAGAGCTGGCTTACCAGCGCAGTGACGTCACCGCCCTTCCCTGTGGATAGCAGGGACCGCAGCTGCCGGGCTGACGGGAGATTTCCCTTTGGCTCAAGAGGCTGGTTCCCTGTTGAGTGATGTCGGAGGCCTGGGTCTGAGGCCCTGATGGTGGGGGGCTGACCTGAGGTGGCAGTGGTGAGTGTTATTCATCCATACATTTTATCCAGTTCAGGGCTGCAGAGGAGTCAGAGTCTATCCTGGCAAGGAATGGGCACAAGGCACACACAGCCTGGATGGGACCTCAGACAGGGAACACAGAAACACAAACATACATATTCACACCAGGGCCAATTTCCCTAAAAGCCATTTAACCAAGCAGTGTATCTTTGGACTCAAGCAGGGCTGCTTGAGGAAACCCTCCTGAACTCA